TCTTGTTTCCCAAAATATCCCGCTATTTGGGAAATAGCAGGCTAATCTGTGCCTGTCTGAGCTACATGTAGTTTGTGATGAACGTATTGGTCTGGTGAAGATGCAATTTCGAGCTTCGGGATAATATCCAGACTCCTCAATCCTCCCTCTCTCTCACATGGTGCACCCGCAAGCCTACTGTATATAATATCCAGATTCCAGAGTCTGAAAATGGTGGGTTATTTGGCAAACCCAAGCTCATGAAGCTCAGCTCGAGTTAAGAAGTTTGAGGGAGAGAGAGAGAGATGTTGGGCAAGAATGGATGATGAGGGCTAGTAAAGATAAACATGTTTTATACCGGTACTTGGAAATTAAATGCCAAAAAACAAGACAAAAAAATATGACAAGAAATAAAAAGAGGAAAAGTTATAAACATCAGAGAGAGAGGAGAATGAGGAGAGAGAAAAAGCTACTTGGTGAACATGACAAAATTATTCTTCATTGGGGTCCATACAAATTAAATTAAATAGGAGAAAGAAAGAAAGTATGTGAAAACAATAGAAAGAAGTTTTTGAAAGGAAAGAAGGAAGAAAGAACCTAAATAAAATCATGCTGGCTTGAATTCCAAGAGGGAACGTGTTAATATTTTGGTAGGTTGAAGGTAAATTTCACTGATTGATTATTTAAAAAAAAGAGAAAAATTGTTTCACAAATTTACATGTCATTGTCCCTGTTTTTCTGAATATTTTAATGATTATACTGGGAGTAGAAGGAAAGGAAGAAGGGAGAGCAAGGATACAGGTATTTTTAGGCATTTGGGCCATCTCTGGTTACTGATACTACTCGGGCAAATGTCAATGGTCAATTTGTTATTGTTTTGGGCTGCTCTAAAAATTCTCACATAATCACAGATTGACAGGCAGAAGTAATGACATTTGACATCATTTCTACAGATCAAAATATTGCCCAGAAATGTTCAATAACAGATGAAAAAATGTAGCCTAGCCTTGAAATGTTATGCATTTTAATAATGTTTTAAATATCCTGCCTAATGAACATTGCTGGTTTGTAATTTAGAATTATACCTCAGAAGTCAATATGAATATTTCCAAAGATAATATACAAAGGTTGAGTTATACATGGTGGTGTGTATAGATTAATATGTTTCACCATGTGGGTAGTCCTGAAAAGGACTGTTGGGTTTGAATATTTCCATTTTATAAATATGCCCATTTCAAACACTTCATGTACCTGTATGTTTTCAGTGCTCCCTTCGTATGTGAATTAGATACCGGTATATCAGATGATCTACACTGTATGATCTGTATCTCATGTAAGATCTATCCAGGGAGGTGAAGCCCTGATCTATCCATCCTGTATACCCAGTGCAGGTATTTAATCCCCATCAACTCAAAAGGTCAAGTGGGGTCACCACAGAGGTCAAATGGGGTCAAGTCTGAGTTTCCTGACTGATACTGATCTATAATGAGAGGTCATGGGGCATTCATGTGGCATTCTTGCATGTACCTAATCTGTCTTTGCTGTGGTGAATGTTTGGTTGTAATGGGCGCTTGTTGATGGTGCAATCTATAGGTATGTCTTCATCAGCTCTAGGTTGCCAAATAGCCCGCTATTTCTGATTTGGGAAATAAGCCGGAAGTTACAAATTGCATTTTCATCAGCTCGTCACTCAAAATTAGAGCTTGAAAAATTAGCTCAAGATATTTTGCTCAGCGTTTGCGCATAGTGCAAGTCTTTTGGCTGGTGAAGACGCACCAGACAAATAGCAGGATATTTTGCTAACTAGCCCAAGATTTTGGGGGATGATTATCTCGACAAAATATCCTGCTAAATGCAACTGCGGACTGTTAAAGACGCAAATTAGCTGGATATTTTGCGATCAGGATAGTTAAAATAGCGGGTTATTTGGCAATCTGGAGCTGATCAAAACAGGCCTTATGTTTTCAGCAATCCCCTCCCATGGAGAAAAATATAGACATATCGAGAGGAATGCTCTGTATATCCATTCTGCAGAGAGAGAGAGAGAGAGAGGGAGGAGAGGTGGCTCAGTGGTACTAGAGCCGGGGTCTCATAACCAAGAGGTCCTCGGTTCAAAACCAAGTCGAAGCACTTGTGCCCTTTGGTAAGGCATTGATCCTTATTAGTTATTACCAGGTCCCTCAGAGAGGACTTAAAGCCATCCGTCTCCTGTTTGCTTACAGTGTACTTACAAGAATATACTTGCTTTCTCAGCAGTATAAACAATAATCAACCATCTATCACCCTGAGGACCAATACTCATTGTAAAATTCCTTTTTAAGAATAGCAATGAATGCAGACATACTCAAGTTTTATTGTTTTGCACTCGACAGAGCAAATCACTAGTATCAACAGAAAGCCAAAATTGGACAATATATTGGACGATGTATTAAAACAGAACCTAAAGGAGCAATACCTAATTTGTCTCAATGCACATTTTCTATGTTGTCCATGAGCTGGGAAAAGCATACACAAGATTTGTTAGGGATTTTAGCTCAGGAAAACTCCAAAAGAATTCTGAAAAAACCTTTTAAAAAAGAGGATTGTAAAATAAAAGGTGGACTGGTGGAATTAGGGTACTATTAGGGCCTTTGTTTATGATGTTCAGTAGCATTCTCAATAAACATAAATAGGGTAAAATCATTTTTCATAAAAAGATACCTGTACTTAAAAAAATTACAAAACTTGATGAGGATATGACTAATTTAGTTGTTGACTGTACATGTTCACGAATGTAGTCATGAACTGAGCTTATCACCAAAGCAGTTTGATTTTTGTATTGCTTGAGTAGCGAGCAGTGGAGATGTCTGCTGCATGTAACACATGACCTTGTAGTAGATATTTGCTTCTTATTTAGGAACCAATTGTTGGGAAGCAATGAGGCTTGATATACAGCTTGTATTTTGCGAGTTTGGTCGTCTATGAAAATAGAAAACTGTTGTTAAATTGAGTTTTGATTCTGAAATTTATGTGTTGCAAAGGTCATCCCGATAGAGAGCATAGAGGAAATTGGTTCCCAATAACTTTTGTAACGCTCATGGGTACCTGCTAACTTGACTATACTAAATGTTTCATATTCGACAGGGAAAAAAATACTTTAACAATTTTGGGGGTTACCAGTACTTTTCAAGTTTGCTTGGATGAAACTACAATCTTTAATTTGTTTTTACATTTTTGGGGGCTCTTTTTAGCATTTTGGGGGCTCTTTTTTCACTGATTCATGATAGGGTAGTGAGCAAGCAATAGAAATGCTGTTTCCTTTTTTTGAAAGGTGAAGAATAAACAACCAAAAGAGACAAAAAATGATAATTTCTTTGCTTTAAATTGCTTTACACAAGAAGGAGAAGACTATCAAAATATATTTCTTGTGCTAAGATAAAAAGAGCGATCAAAAAGGAAGAAATTAGTAGATGGAAATGAGAACAAAAAAAGGTGTTTTTAAGATACGAGAGAGAGAGAGCATGAACCTAAGAGAGAGAGATAGGGGAAGAGAGAGAGAGAGAAAGAGAAAGGGAGAGAGAAAGAAAGAGAAAGGGGGAGAGAGAAAGAAAGAGAAAGGGGGGGGGGGGGGAGAGAGAGAGAGAGAGAGAGGGGGGGGGGAGAGGGAGGGAAAGAGATAGGATGAACATATTAAAACTCACTAAAAAAGAGAAATCAAGCAAGAAGGACTAATAGACATGAAATAAGTTGTGTCTCAAAAAGTACTTTATAGTTCTTCTCTTTCATAATTGGTGAGACATTGGCACAATTTATTTGGGCAATTTGTTGGTCCAATCGCCAACTTCTTCAGAATACATGTCTTCATTATGAATATATTCCTCCCTTCTAACTCTGCGAGACGGAAGTGGGAGACCCTTGCTTTTCTTGACATGACATTGTCAATATTGACCAAACCTCTTAGGACCAAGAAATGGGGGAAAGAAAAGCAGATTATGCTGGGTTTACATCCAAACAAAGATAGCACCCACTCACCCTCCCTCCCAGGTAGAACCTAGCTGCCACACCTCTTATTAGTTGTGAATCTGAGCCCTCTTTCATAAAACTTTTTATTAATCAGTGAAAAAAATATGTGGGGCTCGGGGCGAAATAGCCCCCGAAATGCCCAAAAGAGCCCCCGAAAATCAGAAAAGAGCCCCTGTAAATTTGCATAGAGTTCAATGCAAAACAGATTTCAAGCAGGCAAGTTTGAAAAGTAGCCCGTGATAAATAAATATGAATTTTTTCCCTGAATATCAATAATAAATTATGATTACTGTTAAAAGCTACTGAAAGAGTTTCAGTTGGCTGTTGCCTGTTGGCAAATTCATTATGGAGATGTGACCGTTGTTATTGATGATAAGTTTTATGAAGCGGTTATGTTCACAGGAAAAGAAGACTCATATATAGTTAGGTACTTGAGGAAAGGGCCATAGGATTTACAGTAAAACCTGTCTATAGAGGCCACCTAAGTGTTAAATTGGTTGCTGTAGAAAGATGTCCCTTCTAGACAGGTTCTACAACACACATTTCCACTATAGAGAGGTTTCCACTGAAACAGCCTTTCATTCTTACCCTCACACCCTTTTTTGAAGGTTGTATTTTCGGGGGTTCGCATGATAAGTGGAGAAGACGTGGTGCTCTGTGGGGGATGCATGTAAGGGAGGAGGACAAAGACGATTGAATAATTTTAAAAAAAATACAAAAATGGACATGAGCAACCTGGGTTGAGAGAGACAATATAGTAATAAAATATTGCCTTAAATATTGACATACATTGTGACAGTATGCTTCATTTTCCACTTTTAAAGTACATGTCCCTTGCAGTACTTGTAAATGCTACTGCATGCAAGTGTTTCTTCAGGTAAAAAATGCTATTTTATTTTCAGATCAGACTCCATAAATGCATACGATATCAGTCTGTTATGCCAACACTGATCTTTTTTTAATTCAAAGGATTTGTACTCTAATGTCTTCATTTACTCCTTTTGTATTTTCTTGTGTAGAACTTGTCGCTAGCTTTCAGTTACCATGGGTGATGATTATGAAGCAGAGGAGAGGGCGAGGAGGAGGGAGGAGAGGAGAAAAAAGAGGGAGGCTGAACGGTAAGTAGAACAGCCAGTTATGGAGGCTACCATCTTACAATCATTACATTTGATAGGTTTGTGTTATTTAGCGGTTAAATGCCTTTTCCTCAAGAATGTTGTAGGGAAATTGCACGTCACATATTTGTATTGTATCCAGGGTTTTGACAATAACAGGGTTTACATCTAGACACAAACCTCCAAATATATTGTTCCATACTCTTTTTAAATTTGATTGCTAATCTAACAAAGTTTGTCTTTTTAAAGTAACTCAGCATAATGTCCATGGTCATTAACTGTCATTGAATGTTTCTTGTGTAGGAAGAATTAATTGTCATTTGTATTAATGATGTTGTTGAATTTCCCCTGTCTTGAAAAAATACAATTAAAATTGAGATAAAGGTATAATTCACTACTCCTCTTGTATCTAAATTCATTATGAGCATGTAGAATGATTTTAATAATTCATTGCTAGTGTATGACATTCTCTGTTGGAATTATCATTAGCATGAGTCTTTGGATTTGCCATTTCAGGAGGAGGACTGATAGTTGTAATCATAATTGTAAAGTTATTAGTAAGCTAATAAATACCGGTAGTACATGTACATGATCTGCTCTATTGACATTGACAGATTTTGTGCATTATTTTGCATGTATAACAAAGTAGTATTTAACTGGGATTCTTTTGTCTTGTGGATGAATTGAAGTCCTGGGAATAATGAGTGCCTCCCAATTAAATCAATCTTAATAGGCCTGTCTTCATCAGCTCGAGTTTGCCAAATAACCTGCTGTATTCAGACTCAAGATACATGTATTATCCCAAAGCTCAAAATTGTTTCTTCACCAGACCGATACGCTCATCACAAACTAGCTCAGATGGGCGCAAAATTAGCCCACTATTTTCCAAATAACGTGATATTTTTGGAATCAAGACCAAGATTTTCTTGGGATATTTTCTGGATCAATAATGCAGATGGCAACTGCGGGCTGATGAAGATGCAAATTAACTGGCTAATTCGTCGCTGTTTTCACGAAATGACGGTAGTGAAAAAAAATTGCATTCACTTTGCGTGACAATTTTCCTCACAACCGTCACTTCGTGAAAACAAGGACGAATTTGTGATCGGGGAAAGTTAAGATAGCGGGTTATTTGGCTGATGAAGACAGGCCTAAAGATTCTGGAATTTAAACGATATGCATGTGCACGGTTTTCTATTAACAATTTATGTTGTTTGCGTGTTTTTTGTGTTTTATTTCCCATTTGCCTTCCAATTTACGTCTGGAATGTGTCATCGATCGTTCATGCATGGTGTGGATTTCATCGTTAATAGAGCGCAGGCTGCTGCCACCAACGGGTTTGATAGTACATACGGCAGAGATCTAGAAGAGATACGCAAACGAAGAGAGGAACGTCGGTCAAAGCTCAGGCAACCGTGGGTTTCAATTTTAAAGTTTCATTTGTTTATTTTATAACCATAAAGCCCTGTTTCACAGTTGGGATCGTAAACTACTTTGATATAAATTTTAATTGCTGTATTGTGTACAGTGTAAGACACAGATTTCTTACTTTTTATCACAGCTACATTTTTTTCATTTTGTGAATGAAACTTAATAATAGAATTGTAATGGGAACACAGTGTAATATGGAGGGGACTGCTGAAAAGCTAGGCTTGTAGATTGCAGCCCCCTTTAACTTATAGTTGCAAAAGTATATATAAATGTAGGGGAGATATTATTGATATAGATTACTGTGGCTTCCCAGGAAAGGGATTTCCCTTTTTGAGGAAAGTGAATTAAACCTAGTATTTAAACAGGTGGCAAGTATGAAGCAAAAGATACATTATGTAGAAATTTTTCTTCATATTTATATTCAGTTATTGTAGTTTGGTACCTTTAGGAATCATTTTGATTTGATTTGATTTGATTTGTTTTGATTTGAATCATTTATGCACAACATTTTTTTAATACAGATTCTAGCTGGTACATTTTTTTAAAAGTCTCGATACTTGTCTTTTAGGACAGCAGCCATGATATAAAGTGAATATTTTCAAGGAAACTTGAAAACAGCATATACAAGGGGAAATGTAGGTGCAAACTCTTGTCAGTCAAACATTTATACTGAAAGTTTGAACTACAAGACTGCAATTTGCCACTTATAGCCCCAGCACACTATCTTCTGTAGCCAGAGACAGATATTTAGACTAAGTCAAGTCTCTTCATTACACTTTATTTAGGTTTACCTAAACTTATTTAACTGAAGACTAGAGTAAGTTCCTGCAGAGTTGTGGGAGGCATAGGGAAGGGAAAGAAAAGTGAGGCAGAGAGAGAGAGAGAGAGAGAGTGATGAGAGGGGAGAGGAAGGGAGGGATGGATGGAGGGAGGGAGTGATGCAGAGAGAGATGAGAGGGGAGAGGGAGGGAAGGAGGGAGGGATGGAGGGAGGGATGGAGGAAGGGAGGGAGGGAGGGAGGAAGGGAGGGAGGAAGGGAGGGAGGGAGGGGGATGGAAGGAGGGGTGGAGGGAGGGAGTGATGCAGAGAGAGATGAGAGGGGAGAGGGAGGGAAGGAGGGAGGGATGGAGGGAGGGATGGAGGGAGGAAGGGAGGGAGGGAGGAAGGGAGGGGGATGGAAGGAGGGATGGAGGAAGGGAGTGATGCAGAGAGAGATGAGAGGGGAGAGGGAGGGAAGGAGGGAGGGATGGAGGGAGGGATGGAGGGAGGGAGGAAGGGAGGGAGGGAGGGGGATGGAAGGAGGGATGGAGGGAGGGAGTGATGCAGAGAGAGATGAGAGGGGAGAGGGAGGGAAGGAGGGATGGAGGAAGGGAGATGTGAAAAGGGAAGGGGCTAGATATAATATATTTAGAGAGTATGACTTATGCAGTTTTGGAAGCTCTACTCTTTATTTGTGCATAATAATTTCAAAAGTAAAATAGTAGACTAACTTTGTGAATAAACCATAATGAAGAGCTGTATATGACTAGAGTTCCATTGCAGCAGAATGTTAAACATGTGGAGGGGTCATGTATAATGTAGAGATATATTTAGCTGAACATTATGTGGCTTATACAGGGCTTTATAAGGCTGACAAAAGGTTAGTGGCCCTAGACTTGCTAGAGAAGCTAAGATAATCATCTGAGAGAACATTCCAGCGGGAGGGAGATCCTTAGTACAAATATGCTATCCATGGAATGTATTTACATGACTGATCTGAGATTATTATCACGCTCCTCTACATGATAAGCATCAATGCTTCTTCTTCAGTAAGAAAATGCAAGCCATTGCATCTGTAGGCCTATACATTGTACAATTTTATTTTATTTCAGCACAACTCAATCTCGATCTCTATACGTGCCATGTCCTGAATGCCGCAACTCTCTGTCCCATATTCTATGAAGTAATTCATTCTCGGCGAGAACAATTCCACTTTCAGAAATCCCACTCCTTAAGCTACTAGTCCACAGAATCCTCCTTAACTCAATACAACTTGTATACAGCTGGAACATAGATAGTCAGGCACGTAGCCACGGGGGGGGGGGGGGGGGGGGGGGGGGGGGGGGGGGGGGGGGGGGGGGGGGGGGGGGGGGGGGGGGGGGGGGGGATCGGTTGCATTTTTTTAGACCCCTTTTTTAGACCTCGATCAATTACATGTATGTGCCCCCCAAACATCAAACTCTGGCTACGTGCCTGTAGATAGTTACATACTGATAGCCAATTCGGTACAATGCAGTGTATTCCCTCCTCCGACCATATCTCACCAAGCTGGTTGCCATGTTATTTAGACCTGATTTGTTCAGTGCAAGGCCATATTACATACATGTTTCTAAAACTATATTCCTTGTGACTACATCCCTCTTCTCAATAAGCTTTCGAGTTAATCTTCCAATTGTTTCAGGGAATTTTTTTAAATTCAGGCCCATATTCCTCCCATTCCTTTGTTACCCACTTCCATAGTGCTTTGAGAGAGAGAGTTGTGACACGCAAACCCGTACACATTCAAGGTTCCATTCATGGAGGGCAGACAAATATTTCCCTTTTCATAGAGATTGTATGTGGGAGGGAACTATTTAGAGCTCCATGAACTGAACCTTTAGAGGGTATGCTATGTGCATGTCACAACTATCTCTGTCAGTACGCTATGGCCCAGTCTATTGCTCGCACACATACTGTACTCCTGCCCTTTGGTACATGTATGAACTGTGTAAGGCTATCTCTAGGACTACATACCGTCATGCTTGTTATTATCTTTCTTTTAATCTTTCATGTCGGTCCGAGACTCTCTTTGAATTACGAGTCAGTCAATAGCCTAGCTTCAAGGCAGAATGATTTGTTTCTTGTTTGGCTGGAAATATGTTTAACAGGGTTTTGAAATGATGAATGTACTCTAGCTCTCTAGATCTTATTTGAATGCTTTATAAAAACATCTGAACTGTAGACTGCACCTTGTAGGCCGTGTATTATAACTCAGTCAGAGACTTACACAGTTTTCAAGGCGCAAGACTTGTAATTTGTTAATTTTAAGCGTAAAATATAAAGAAAAATCATGTAGATTCTGTGCCTGCAGACTATACCAACAGTGTAGCTTCCTCTTTCTATCAGGTACATTTAGTAATACAGAAGGGATATAGTTGTCTACAATCCCCGACTCTGTTCAACTTCTTTCCTTTGAGATGGGGTATATAAAACCAAGTTGCCTTGAATCAAGTCTATCCCATAAATGCCACCAATGTTGATAACATGGTATTTAATCAACGGTGCACTTGCTAAGGCAAGCCAGGCAAGGCATGCAACATGTCTTTATTTAAAGAGATAGATCAGTGTATTAACTGACTTTTGTTTATTCAGTTCATATTGGTAATAAGATGGGTCTACGTGGAGGTTTAAAAGAAATAATGAAATATAAACAAAAATTATATTTCTTACATGAATCGATCACTACTTTCCATCAAACTTGAAACACCAGTAACACTTTTGTTTACCTCAAGGGATACAAGGACTAAAGTAACTTTACAAATGTTAATGGATGTTCCAATCTGAGATTGCAGCATGTGTACATTATCCATTTCAAAAGCAACATAAACACAAGTTGTACAAATCTACATGAAAATTGTTTCAATTATCAAACTGAAATATTTATCCCCAATATATGAATAACTAGTAGGCATGACTAATGCAATAGAAAGAATATAGTCTCTTACTCTTTTAACATCTTTGATGATGTCTTAAAAGTTACTCAATTCTATGAATGTTTACATTTGATGACAATATTTGTTTTCCTTCTGCTATGTGAACAGTTTTGTATAGTGTTGTCAACAATTCTTCTTCTGCCTGATGGTTTGTTTTACATGACTGCTAATAAAACATGTACGCTAGTAAGTAAGCAACTAGGGGACTGACAGCTTGAAGTCCTCTACGAGGGACTTGGCAATGAGGATCAATGCCTTACCAGAGGGCACAAGCGCATCGACTTAGTTGAGAACCTGGGACCTCCTAGTTACGAATACGGAATACGAGACCACTGCTCTTCCACTGAGCCATTGCGTCTCCTAGTGTGAAATGCATAATACATAATGCATATACATGATATAATTATAACTAAGGGTTATGGTTGAGACTAGGACACAGTCACTTTTAACGACTCTTATGTGAGTCTGCTCCTATCATCCTAATGGCAATTTAAGGACCATTTATATTTGTTTTGTTCCGGTGCCAGACTTGACACGTCTGAAGTAAATGACGTGTGAATTGCTAGTTCATTTTTATCTGTTTGTTCTGAATTCTTATCATTCGCTTTAGTTTTTCAAAAGATGAATATCAGGTGTTCCCATGATGTTGTTGCTTGCTGTTTTAAGAATATGTACGCCTTATCCTTTTTATTGACATTGACAAGATACCTCTATCCATTTGGCATATCTTGACTATACAAATTTAAAATCCATCAAAAAACTTCATTAAGTATACAATGTTGATAATTTTCTACAGATGTTTAGTTCAAAAGATTGAGGTACAATACAGAGTTTAGGTTTAGCTATAAACACATGATAATTCAAAGAGGTTTTGATTTTCAGCTCACGTTTTGGCTGATAAAAAAAAACCTGGGTTATACACCCAACCAAAATTTTAAATGAATGTTTTGGAGTTCTTTGGAGCTTGTTGTAGCAATTTTATTCTCCACTTTTATGTATTTTTCACCAGATTCAAGTTCATTCATATTGAATTGTGTCAATGCACTCCTTCCAAATTACCTACAGTGTACCGGTATACCAAGCATCTGGACCTCTTATCTCTCTTTCCCCATCTCATCATAGCAAAAGTCTGGGGGGATGATACAAAAAACTGTGATTTCATACTCAGGGCAATTGCTTGTGTAGATTTAGAATTTCTTGTGGAAATTTTCGTAGCGAGATCATGTTACACTCTTTACTTATTTGTAAGTCTT